CTTATTTCACTTCATGTAAACTTTATTTCTGCCTGGTCTTTTTTGTGCTATTGAAGTACCCAATGAAGTCCTTGAGCACCCTAATAACCAGTGTTTTAAACTCTGCATCTGATAGATTGCTTATTTCCATTTTGTTTACTACTTTTTCTGGAGTTTTGCTGTTCTTTCCTTTGGGCCATATTTCTTTCTCTCCTCATTTTGGCAGCCTCCCTGTGTTTGTTTCTATGTATTAGAGCTGCTTTGACTCCCTGTCTTTGTAGGTGGCCTAATGTAGTAGAGCACACTCATCAATCAACATGAGGGGGAGCCTTAGATAATGGCCAGGGAGGGGCAACCCCTGTGAACTACATTGATGGAGTCTCAGATATGGTGTTATTACTTTGTGGCTCTGTGTGGGAGAGGGTTCAGAGAGGAGACAATGCTGCTGCCTGGCCTCTAGAGTTTTGTTCAGGAGGAAACTGTCCAGTGGCACTCACCCTGATGCCAAACACTTCAGTTTCTTCCCATGTGCTACTGGTGCCCTTCCAACTGCTGCCCCCCATGCTGGAGCCCACAGGGAGTCTGTTTAAGTTCAAAGTCCGTTGCAGGCTCTTTAAGGGGAGACACTTGAAAATCCCACAGTTTCTTCTACCACCCCAACCCCCAGAAATTATATAGCCAGAAATTATGGGGACTTATCTTTCGGGCACTGGATCCCTGGGCTGGATAGTCTGGCATGGGGCTGGGATCCCTCGCTCCTGAGATATCCCTCCTGATTTTTATCCATCATATGTGGGTGTGGGACCATCCATTCCACATCTCCTCGTTTCTACATCTCTGCCCCTCCTACCCATCTGGATGAATGTGACTTCTTTAATTCCTTGGTTGTTGGACTTCTATACAGCTCAATTATCTGACAATTCTGGGTCATAGTTATTTTGTAGATAAGTTGTAATTTTTGCTGTGATCGTGCAAATAGGTGAGGTATGCTTACCTATACCTCCATTTTGATCAGAAGCCCCATAATTTTCTTCATGGATTATTTATCATGGCAGCAGAAAATACCAAATTGAAAATAAATCAAAAACTTCTTCTACCATGAACAGTTACTAATGGTCTCACCCCAAAATTTTTGTGTTTTGCCCAAACAAAGGAGTAGTATATTAGAGAGTGTGTGTGTGTGTGTATAATATTTATTTATTTTTAGAGAGAGGGGAAGGGAAGGAGAAAGAGTGGGAGAGAAACATCAGTGTGTGGTTGCCTCTCGTGTGTCCTCTACTAGGGACCCGGCCTGCAACCCAGGCATCTGCCCTGACTGGAAATCAAACCAGAGACCCTTTGCCTCACAGACCTGTGCTCAATCCACTGAGCTACACCAGCCAGGGCTATTAGAGTATATTTAAGAGCCACAATGTTCTAGAGTCTGAAGTCAATATTTTTCTGGATAAATGTCCAGCATTTGATAAGAATGAGATTAGTTCTTCCAAACCCCGGTTATCATTAACACCAAATGTTGTATTAGCAAGTACAAGCAAATTTTTGGTTTTGTGTTTTAGAGATTTGGAAGCAGCTCATGTGTCCATCACTAGATGAGTGGATAAAAAAAAGCCATGGTGCATTTACACGATGGAATACTACTTGGCAATAAAAAAGAACAAAATCTTACCCTTTGCAACAGTGTAGATGGACCTGGATAGCATTATGTTAAGTGAAAGAAGCCAGTCAGAGAAAGACAAGTACCATATGATTTCACTCACATGTGGAATCGAGAACAAAATAAACTAACAAACAAAATAGAAACAGACTCATAGATAGAGAACAGACTGACAGCTGTCAGAGGGGAGGGAGGCTTGCAGGGCTGGGTGAAAAAGTCGAAGGGATTAAGCAAATGAAAAAACCACATAGACATAGACAACAGCATGGTGATTACCAGAGGGAAAAGGGGTCAGGGGAGGTAGGAGAGGGTACAGGGAGATATATGGTGATGGAAGAAGACTGGAGTTGGGGTGGTGTGAGATATACTCAATTCTCATGTGAGTTCTGTTTTCTCAGGACATTATAAGGAAGGCAAAATGATAGGGGGAGAAAGGATACCAGAATGGAAACCTAGCTATCTCAAACTAGCTAGGAGACCATAAGCAAGTCATGGCAGGCCTCAAATTTCTTATGTGCAAGTGCTCTATTGGACTGGATAGTCTTGAAGTCCCTTCCTGAGGCTGAGTTTTTATGTGATCATTAAAATGTCTGAATGCCTGAGTACTTTAAAAAAATAGGTATGCCCCTCCCCTGTGATTTAGGCTGGATTAGCTGAGCATAATGTTTCCATAGTCCACAATAACAACCTCTGCCTCCTGATCTGCCCTGGCTACCCAGAGAGAAATGAAAGAAAAGGTTTGTGACGTATAAATGTATCAATGTATTGACAGCTGACCATTTAGAAGAAATGAGCCTTGCCTTTGCACAGCTTTGTATAACTAGAAAAGACTCTGTTTTTCCTCTCCCTACCCTCAAGCCTATTCCTTTAGGCATGCAGGTTTTTCCTCTCCCTACCTTCCACTTCTTATGCCAGGGAACCCTGACTAAGGAACAAAGTCCTACAAAGAAGAGGTCTTGAGTACCCATCGGCAGCCATTTGAGATTGCCAGTAGGTCTGATGCTAAGATGAGGTTGTGTCCATCAGAACCCAATTCCATATAAATCTAAGCTCCAAGACTGGGAGACAGCAGCTATTGAGGACAAGTTCACTGCTAAGAATCAGTCTCCCACTGGAGGATGTCATAGCTGTGCAGACCCAGAACACATTGTTGTAGATAGTGATCCACTGATGCAGAGAAGCTGCTGCATGTCTGTCACCACCCCTCCATACCACCAGCCCACTGACCATGCACAGCAGTAGCTTCAGCACAGCCCAGAACCGCTTGTGTTTAGGGGTGGGCTTACAGGATAGAGAACCAGACTTGGATTTCAGGGCCTAATTTGTTTCTTTCTTAGTTTTATTCTGCTCCTGTCTGGATGATTCAAGAGCATCATACTCCTTTCTCTAGTGTTTCTTCTCTTCCTCCTCTCCCACTTCCTCAATTCCCACTCCTGAGCCTCCTCAGCTTACTGATTGGCCTCCAGCCTCTTCTCAGCCTCTTGTTCTAATACTTCCAGCCACCACTACCTCTCTCACTGCTAATCCACTCACACAGCCTTCACATGCTGCATGTAACATCTTGTTGCCACACTGCTTAAACTGCTTCTCATGCAAGCAATCCCCTGCCACTTTAGCCAGGACAGGATCCAAGGGGTTGTCCTTCATTCCAACTACTTCAGGCTCTTGGGCTAAGCAAAGCTGCCAGGCAGGGTGACCAACTTAATGTTGAGGACATCGTGCTGGAGGTCGACCAAAAAGCCAAGGTCTGTGGCAGTTATTGCAGTTTGTTGTTACTCAAGTCTAGCCCAGCAGGTGTGAGTCCACAGAAATCCAATGGTAGAGTAGTCAGCTTATTGCAGGACAGATCCAGTATGGCAGCCTTTGGAACCACAGACAACTCCTTGACTGAGACCTCACTGAGGCTCAGGTTCAGTTTGCTGCCATATAGCTTGTCACAGAGATTCTTGCCCTTGCTACTGGCCTTGGTCATGGTGACACAGGCTGAGTGAGTACCCTTCTGGGGCCTTGATTGGCAGCAGATGCCTGAGAAGCAGCTCCTCAGCTCAGCAAACTCATACCCAACCAAAAAAGCCTGCTTCCTCTACTGCCCCAGGTATGAAATCTCTGTCACCCATCTTCCCCCGGCCACATTATGTTCCCCTCTCCTGCTCCCACTGGTGATACTATACCTGTTTTATGGTTGAATATTTTTTATCAGGTCTGGAATTGGAAACTGGCTTAAGAAAATAACCTCCTTATAATATAGTGCTACATCTACACTTAAAAGTATTCGGCTTGCCAACACCAGGTTCAGATATGCATTTTTTCCCATTATGGAGATATTTTAAACCAGGTTAAGACATAAGTCTCTGACTTCTATTAGTTTGGGTTTTTTAATACCAAAATAAAACTTATCACCTTTACTAGAAACTGCTACAAGTAAGTCTGCACAAAAAGACTGATAGCTTAAGGAAGGTTTTCAAAACACAGTCAGTTTTTCAATAAAGAGCCAGCAAGAGAAGGTAAGGGAATTTCTTTTGTTACAACTTCTTTGGGCTGGGCCAGAACTCTTTCCTTTTGTAACTATGGATCTGGGACTGTTTTGCCTTGATTAGTCTTATTAACATAACTCACTCTAAAACTGGACTTCCAGGTATAGAATCCAGGCCTACATAATCTAACTGGGTTAATATTTAGAAAGGGTTGTTTCTGATCTTTGTTCCCCACCTTAATGAGCCTCAAGTTACTATTGGGACCAGCCACTAAAAATTACTCTCTGAAGCCTGTTACTAGCAACATAAACAAATGCTGGAGACACAGTAGTAATCATAGCATTACATGAAGACAAAGAATAGGTGGCAATGGGGGTACATGGTATGAGAACTTAAACTACATGCATGTGTAGCTTGCCTGCAGTGCTGTCTTTTTTGTCACATATTCAACCTATTCTAAAAGAGAATGGGAATGAGATTTTACAGAAAATATAAGCAAAGTGAATGAATCAGAGTACAAAAATGTAACCTATTGTCCACTGATTGAATTTACTAAGGACAAAGGACAATGAGTGAAAAACTGGCAGAACTGTTTACAAAATGCATAGCACTGTTTATTATATTTTCTGATTTATCTAATTAATCATGGTATCACAAAGCTTGTAATGAACCACCCAAACTGCCATCTCATCCTATCTAAGTCAATCATATTTGCTAAACAATCTGCCCATACTTGTCCTTGTCCATCCAAAAGGAACTTATCAGGTTGACATGTTATATAATCTTCCTAGACAATTTGCTCACTATACTACATTGGTTGTATTAATATAGTCTTTATTAGTGCTTGGACTGCTGGGTGGAGAAAAGAATTCCTTACTTTTGAGCCTACTTACCTCGGTTGTGATCATCATTGTCTTCCCAGGCCTCTTCATTTGCTAGCAGTGGATTCTGTGACTCATTCATAGACCTCATAGGGAAGGAGTGTCCATCACCAGGGCTGGAGGGAAAAAGAAGGCAGTGAGCTCTTGCAACTGACATAGACTTTTTGTAAGGTAATAATCCTAGTAGAAATAAGAAACTTATTAGCAACATTTCAATGATTTACTTTATTGGCTAGGACCATAGGGAATAGAATCTTACAATAGCATCATTTGCCTGCCATATTGCTTTCAATTGCTATATCTTATTTCTTTGCATCAGTTTGACTGGGCATTGTGAGACACAAGTTAAAGAGTTGCTTACAAACAAAAACATCTTATGTGTGAATAAAATGCTTCATACATATTACTTAATGATGATGATTCCAATTATATCCATCGTATTGTTTGCTTCTAAATTTTCAAAGAAAATTACCAGATTCAGTATCACTGAATACAATGGAGATAAGTTGCTGCAAATTGGTGTCAGATAATAATGTCTGAATGCCCCCACTCTTTGGCCTGTATAGTGCAAAGGTTATGAAGAATTGGGGAAATGAGACAGAGTGAGTCATCCCTAAGAGTACAGATTCTGGGTGCAATTATCCACATGTGGAATCCACCTTATAGATATATACAGTAACCTAGAACTACTTCATAGGTTAATCTATGGCCACTAGCAGATGGGATGCTTTGGAAAAAACTGAGCTGGCCATAACTAAAGTGGGTTACAATTTGAACATTTGAGTGTGTATATCTGAATGCATTCCAAATTGGTAGGAGTGGCTTTTGCATTATTCATTCAATATTATATATACTTTTTATCCTATTAACAAATGTGTGTGACTGAAAATGAACAGATTTCAGGTCTGCCCACTTTTTAATTGGATTGTTTGTTTGGTTTTGGTGTCGAATTGTATAAGTTCTTTGTAAACTGTGGATTAATATCCACAATGATACATCCCCTTATCAGATGTATCATTGATGAATATGTTCTCCCATTTAGTTTTGTTGATGGTTTCCTTTGCTGTGCAAAACCTCGTTAGTCTGAGGTAGTCTCATTTGTTTATCTTTTCCTTTGTTTCCCTTGCCTGAGGAGATATAACAGAAAAATATTTCTAAGATAAATGTGAGAGATTTTACTGCTTATGTTTTCTTCTATGAATTTTATGGTTTCACATTTTACAATTAAGTCTTTTATCAATTTTGAGCTTATTCTTTTTTTAGAGGATATATTATTATATTATTACAGTTGTCCCAATTTTCCCCGTGCCCCCCTCCACTCAGTATCCATTTCCTTTCAGCAATCCCCCCCTTAGTTCATGTCCATGGGTCATGTATATAAGTTCTTTGGCTTCTCCACTTCCTATACTACTCTTATATTTCCCTGTATATTTTGTACCTACCTATTATGCTTTTTTAATACCTGCACATTTCCCCCTATTCTCCCCATTCCTCTTCCCAGCTGATAACCCTTCAAATTATTTCCATACCCATGATTCTGTTCCTGTTCTGGTTGTTTGCTTAGTTGTTGTTTTTTTTAAATTTTAGATTCAGTTATTGATAGCTGTGATTTTGATGCCTTGTCAATGTTCATAGTTTTGATCTTTTTGTTTTATATAACTTCCTTTAACATTTCATATAATAAGGGCTTGATGATGATGAACTCCTTTAGCTTTACCCTGTCTGGGAAACACTTTATCTACCCTTCCATTCTAAAAGATAGCTTTGCTGTTTAGAGTAATCTAGATTGTGGGTCCCTGCTTTTCATCACTTTGAATACTCCTTGCTTATAAGGTTTATTTTGAGAAATCAGCTGATAGTCTTATGGGAACTCCTTTGTAGGTAACTGTCTCCTTTTCTCTTGCTGCTTTTAAGATTCTCTCCTTATCTTTAATCTTCGGAATTTAATTATGATGTGTCTTGGTGTATTCTTCCTTGGGTCCCATTTCTTTGGGACTCTCTGAGCTTCCTGGACTTCCTGGAAGTCTATATCCTTTGCTAGACTGGGGAAGTTTTCCTTCATTATTTGTTCAAATAAGTTTTCAAGTTCTTGCTGTTCCTCTTCTCCTTCTGGCACCCCTATGATTCAGATTGGAACATTTAAAGTTGTCCCAGAGGTCCCCAAGCCTCTCCTCATTTTTCTGAATTCTTGTTTCTTCATTCCGTTCTGGCTGAATGTTTATTTCTTCCTTTTGGTACAAACTGTTGATTTGAGTCCCAGTTTCCTTCCCATCACTGTTGGTTCCCTGTACATTTTCCTTTATTTCACTTTGCATAGCCTTCACTTCTTCCTCTATTTTGAGAACATAGTCAACTATTTCTGTGAGCATCCTGATTACCAGTGGTTTGAACTCTGCATCTGATAGGTTGGCTATCTTCTCATTACTTAGTTCTTTTTCTGGAGTTTTGATGTGTTCTTTCATTTGGGCTATGTTTCTTTGTCCCCTCATTTTGGAAGGCTCCATGTGTTTGTTTCTATGTACTAGGTAGAGCTTCTATTCCTCCCCGTCTTGGTAGTGTAGCCTAATGTAATAGATGTCCTATAGAGTCCAGTGGCACAGTCTCCCCTATCACCAAATCTGGGTACTTGGACGTGTGTTCTTTGTGTGGGCTGAATACACCTTTCTCTCTTTAAAAAAATTATTCATTAATTTTTTTAGAGGGAGGGAAAGGGAAGGAGAAAGAGTGGGAGAGAAACATCAATGTGTGGTTGCCTCTCATGTGCCCCTACTGGGGACCTGGCCTGCAACCCAGGGGAATTGAACCAGTGATCCTTTGCTTCACAGGCCCATGCTCAATCCACTGAGCTACACCAGCCAGGGCAACACCTTTCTCTTGAAGTTGAGGCTTGGTTGCTGTTGACAGGTAAATACGAGAGATTTACCCAGGCCAGCAAGTTGTAAGTTTTGGTTGTTACTGCTGACCACCAATCTGCACCCTCTGTGGAGGACCAGCTGTGCTGGGGCAGGGTGGTGGTGTTCTGACATGGTCTGTAGCTGTCCACTGGGTGTGTAGGCCCTCAAATTTCCCAGGTGTTGTAAGCTAATGTCAACCCCCACCTGTGTTTGCCTGCGGCCACACTGCCTGAGCTATAGAGCAATCTGAGATGGCTGCTAATTGTGCTGGTCTTGGGAATTGTAGGTGAAGCCAATCTGTGAATCTAGGTTGGTTGCTGCTAATGTTGGGCCCAGGACTACTTAGCAAGGGGTACAGGGGCTAGTGGCTCACTGAGGCTAGCCATTGCTTGTTTTAAATGATTTAAGAAGTTTGAAGCTTGAGCCAAAACCAGCCATTCATATGGGAAAGTCATTGTTGACGGCTATAAGTTGAGTGGGGCGGAATCTCAGGAATCACGAGAGTGGGGCGAACAGTGTTACCCAGGTGGATGGAGTCTCAGATATGGCACCCACCTGCCAGTTATGTGGCTCTGCCCACCTTTCTCTTTGGGTGAAAGCTTTTTCCCAGCTCTCACCTTGATAACAGACACTTCAGTCCCTCCCTATATGCCACAGGTGCCTTTCAAGCTGCTACCCTGGTGCTCGAGCTCAGAGGGAGTGAGTTTGGGTAAGTCCATGTATGGGTTCTTTAAAAGGAACTCTTTGAGACTCCAGAAGTTTCTTCTACTGACTCAATTCCAGTGGGTTTTTGCAGCCAGAAGTCATGGGGACTTATCTTCCTGGCACTGGAATTCCACTGGGGGTCTGGTGTGGGGCTGGGACACCTCACTCCTGAGCTATGCCTCCCAAAGTTTTATCCACCACACATGGATGTGGGACCAACCATCCATGTCTGCAGCCCACCTACCAGTCTGGATGGATGTGGTTTCTTTAATTCTGGAGTTGTCAGACTTCCATTAAATTTTATTTCTGACAATTCTGAGTGATGATTGTCCTATAATTTAGTTGTAATTTTGAGGTGCTATGTGAGGAGGCAAGTCATGTTTACCTTTACCTCCATCTTGACTGGAAGTCCCCTGGGTCTTATTTTCTTGTTTGTTTGTTTTTTCATGTCTTGTTTTCTTATTCACTTAGCTACTCTATGTCTTTTGACAAGAGCTTTTAATCCACTTACATTTAAAGTGATTATTAATAGATATGTAGTTATTGTCATTTTATTATTCATATTTATAATCTTTTTTGCTCTCTGTTCTTACAAAAGTTCCTATAACACTTCTTGTAATAATGATTTTACTTGTCTGGAAAGCTCTTTATCTGCTTCCGATTCTAAACAATAGCCTTGCTGAGTATCATACTCTTGGTTTTAGTGTTCTGCTTCTAATCAGTTTGAATATTTTGTGCCAATCCCTTCTGGCCTACAAAATTTCTATTGAGAAATCAGCTGACAATTTTATAGGAGTTTCCTTGTAGGTAACTATCTTTCTCTTGCTACTTTTGCAATTCTTTCTTTGTCTTTATCCTTTGCCATTTTAGTTATGATCTGTCATGGCGTGGGCCTCTTTGGGTTCATCCTATTTGAGACTCTCAGCACTTCTTGGACCTGTGTATCTATTTGTTTTGCCACATCAGGTGACACTGTGCCTACAGGCTATATTCGAGTAGGGCTAAACAAATAGTTATTTCCCAGAAACCACACAATTCAGTTTCTCCCCATATGTCCCTGGTGCATTTTGAGCTGCTGTGTCCTCACAAAAGCTAGGGGGAATTTTTGTAGTTGAGTGAGTCTGTATTCAGGCCTTTTAAGAGGACACCTGGGTCTATAGGAACGCTCCATCTCACCAAAACAGAATCCACACCAATTCTCACAGTCAGATATTGTAGGAACTCCTCTTCTCAGCACCTGTGTTCTAGGCTGGGGTATGTGGTATGGGGCTGAGATCTCCTGCTTCAAAGGTGGGACCTCCATGGCTGAGATTCCCTCTCTTCCAATTCTTTATCATGACACATGGGTGTCAGACCAGCTCATTTCCAGTATGCATACTTTCTACCAGTCTTGATGTGGCTTGTTCTTCATTCATATCCTTAGTTATAGGAGCTCCATTCAGCTTGTGTTCAGATGGTTCTCTAGGGTGATTGTTTTCTAATTAGTTGTAATTTTTTAAAATTAATTTTATTTAGTT